GCTAGGTTAATGCCTAACCTATAAATATATAAGGTTTATAGCATATATATAGAAAGTCTTTGTTGTTGTTGATGATTTTTTTTTTTTTTTTTTGATTTTGGTTTCTTGTAATGGTTAACTATTAGTATTATATTTGCTATTTTAAATTATAGTATTTGATTTCTTTTTTTTTTTTTTTGACTTTTCATTACAAGACAGGATGTGGTTGCAAGTGGAATAGTAGTAGTAATGTATGCTGTTTGATGTTGTTGTCGTTTTAACACTACATACAAATGTTCGAATAGACAGTATTAGCAGGTGTGTTACTGCTGCTGACTACTACTATAATATATTAAATAGCTTACTAATAACTACTGTTTGCGGTTTGGTTTTATACTTGCATATGTTTTGTTGTTGTTACTTGGTCAATCAACAAGTCTACAGGCAAGGCGAGTTTTTACAATGAATATTATTGTAGAATGTATGTATGTATGAATGAATGGTACCATGTATGTACATATAGTATGTATGTTCGAATGAAACTTTGAATCGTAATGATAGATAAACGATATAAAAAATATGAAAAAACTTTTTTTTTGCGAATTTCACTTACTTCAATGTGTAATTGGTATAGAAAAAGGGAGAATTAATGTTTATTTTCTTTCTTAAAAACTCAAAAACTCAAGCCTCACCAATTTTATTGAAGTTTGAACTTTTATGGAGGGTAGTAACCTATTTGATTACGTATTTATAGACATAGTGAAGTAGTCATGTAATCATTACAAAAACATTACATTACAATTTTAGAGCAAAAAAAAAAAAATACCGCTAAAAAATTGTAGGTGCTCATTAAGTCTTAAATTATTTAATTTTTGACTACTTGTAATCATATAATCATCACAAACAACTTATGCATTACGATTATTGGAGCAAATTAGTTATGCCCTCCTAGAAACTCAAAAAGTTTTTTAATTTTTTAATTATTTATAATCATGTAATCATTACAAAATAAAAAGTTGTGTATTAAACTTATTGGAAGAAATTAGTTAGTTTTCAAATAAAAAAAAACGGTTTTCATTACTTGTAATCATGTAATCGTTACAAAATAAAAAAGTGATACATTTATTGGAACAAATTAGTTAGTAATCGATGACAAAACGGAACTTGTAATCAGAAATGTAATTAATTGTAATGGCTACAATATAATTAAGTAATGATTAAAATGTAATAAAATAATGATTACATTTATCAAGTAATGTTTACAATGTAATTAGTGTAATTACTTATTAAAAAAATTTAAAGTACGTAATGGTAATAATGTAATTTAAAATGGCTGTATAGCGCAGGATAAAGTAAATGCACATCTCAACTTAAAGCAACACAAAACTAGACAGAATTTTATTTAAGTATGGATTGAATAGTTAAGTATTATTTAGAGGTATACTAAGTGTTTGTAGTATTTGGTAATATTTAATCTTTGGAGCTGCTATTTTATATGCATTAGTATTTACTAAAATTACTGAATTGAAGTAACGGAAATGCTTATTATCATTTATTTAAATTTTTTCGTTTTTGATTTCATGTAAATGGCAATGACATGAGTCGTTATATAACTTTGCGTATAGTGAACTATGCATTCCTTTGGCTCTGGCGTTAACCTAAAAGTTCGTGTGACCATTTCTAGAAGGTAATAAAGTGTAGATTTCCTTTCAAAATTTCTCTTTTAAGGATATCGGCAGTTTGGTTTATATATGTATGCATATATTTGATGGTTCTTTAATATTAATTTAGATGATGTTACTGAAAATTTTTAGCAAGTAGTGATCGAAATTGCTTATGCTTATGTATGTATGCACAATTTTAAACGAAATATCATGTTATGAACTTGAGTGGAATTAGAAGAAATTAATATTTTTAATATCGCATGCAAATCTTAATGAGAACATAATAATATGGTTAAAAAATAGTGATGGTAATTTTTAAAAAATATTTTATTTTAACTAGCAGTTGTGAACTATATTATTTCATGGACGTTTAAAAAAAAATTTTAAGTCTAACTATAAGTCTTTCACCAATGTCAACCATAATGTTTAATGGACGATTTTTTGATGTACGCGAATTGTGTTTTTTTTTTGTTTTTTTGTTTTTGTTGGCATGAATATGTTTAAAGTAGGCGTATAAAACTTGTTTTACCATAAATATTGCTTATTACTCACTTTCAGATGCAATTTGATACATGTTAGTTGGAATTATCTTATAGTAAAATGTATTTATTTGAGAATGCTTTTGGTTAGTTGTAATTAATAGTATTATTTTTTTTAGTAATAAAATTATTATA